TATTTGTTTATTATAGCTTTTTACCACACACACACACAACTCACAACAGTTACAACACCTACTGTATATCGTCACTCATTGTAAACAGGGATACCTGCGCATATTAGGATCCGCGCCCCTATGTGTGTTGTTTGTGACAATAAAAACTGGTTAACTGTCTGTAATCTGTGATTATATGTTTCATTTAAAAACGACATGGAAGGCAGTACATAAGGACAAAAAAATATATATATTTGCTCAAGTATCAAACAATAACATTTTCACAGTTTCAATTCATACATTAATGTTCGATATTTTGTGCCTAACATTATTTTCGAGAAAACATCAAGCATAATACGTCGCCTTAGGCTGGCTAGTAGGCTTGGTAGAAGCATCACATGTACCCTTGTGTGGTGGCGGTGGGGGTGGTCGTGGAGGGGGATTCGGGCCACTTTTTGAATTTCCAGCAATTGGGATACCTTCTCCGTTTCCCTCTAGTATAAAAATAGAAAATAATCAGTTTTCCCTCAAATCGGCTTTCTACACAGCTGTGTAGAAATAATCCAAAATCAATCAAGTAATATTTTCCGAATTTTTGAATTGTAGGTGAATATTCCCAGATAGTCAAAAAATTTTGGTAGAAATATAACAGAAACCAAGGGGCGATTCCCCCCCCCCCCACCCAAAAGAAATCTTGTGACGGATTTAGAGGGTTATATTCTCTAATATTTCCAAGGAGAAAGGACGTTTTTTCATACTGATACTTCAAAATTTCAAACTACAGTGTATTGAAAGAGAGAAGCTAGATTTAACGTCCACAAAAGTCACAAGACATCATAATGGAATGCTTCTTTTGCTTCCTTTGCACTTAACGTATTAAAAAGAGCGATATAATCCGCATTCTAAGTATTTTTCCCCAGTCTGGTTCTTTAGTTCATCCATGCCAAGCCAGGATAATTATGCAGGTTAGTTCAATCCAATACTGTCCTATGATTGGTAAGCACTATTTGTGCAATTTTTTTTTTTTTTTTTTCCAGCCGTTGCCGTTAACCACAGAAATAAAATACGGCGTTTCAAAAATGCATTAAATCGATAACATAGAAAATACGACGTCACAATGAACGTCTACATCGACAGCGCAGCTAAATACGACCCCACAATGGGCATATATTCAAGGCATCGTTTGTACTCCACCAGATCAAGTGTCGCGTAGTAAATAAAGCAGACCAGGGACAAGGAACCAGGCTAACTTTTTCCAGCCAATTTGCGTCACAATCAGAGGATGAGAGAGCTAAAAATTATAGGAAACACCATTTTTAATTTACCGATAATCTATGATGTCGTTTGTGATTTATTGGTGAATAATGTGTCCTCGACATTTTGATGATCTTTGCGATAACCATTTTACAAATTTGATACGTATTACAGACCTTGTACCATGTCTTTTGCAGATCAGGGACAAGGAACCAGGGCTTTCTCCTATCAATATGTTCTGGAAATTCCAGCGGTGGGATCAGGGGCCCGTTTCACAAAGATTTTCTAAGATACAACTTATGATATGCCTAAGTTACAACTTAGGATGTTCCTTAGTTTTGTCATAGTTGTTTCACAAAACTTTCTTATCTTATTTTTTTTCTTAAGACACATCTTAAACCATTTATATATAACCTTTACGAGCAAACGGGATTCACCCCCCCCCCCCCCTTTCAAAAAAAAGAGAACAAATCGAAAAACAAAAAACTGCGAGGTAAAACTTAATTCGTATGCAGAAGTTAATAGGCAGTCTCTTTGAAAATATGAGATTTATTTTTCTCAATTAGGTGTATTGTTACAACGTGTATGTTAAATATACATGTACGTGCACAGAAAAGTCACATAGTATCAACGATCAATCGTACATTTCATGCACGTAAAGTGATATGTACTTCCAACTCGTACACAATTATTATACATGTACCTACGTTGGTGGGTAGAGGAAACGATGGGGGAGAAGTATTAAAAAACAGTTATTGACTATTAAAAACAATTCATTTAATTAGAAATTGCTGTGAAACAAAAAAAAATTGGGTCTTTGGTTTCGGAAACCTAAATCGAACACTCTAGTCAGCAGTTTAAGTGTCTTCCATTTCGTCATGAATGAGTGCATTGCATTGTCTATATAAATAGTCCGTGCTTAGATGTACGAGTGTTGTCCAAAAAGTTCGTGGACAAATGATTAATTTTCTTAATAAAGTCCGCAAAGGCAAACGTGTACAATAATATTTTAAAATAATCCATGACTTAGTAATTACAGTGTATATAAAAAAAATTAAAACAATACACACTATTTTATGAGCGTTATAGGTTTAAATACTTTATATGTGCAAGCCGCACGGCCCAGTCTGACGTAAAGCTAATTTCACGATAACGCCAATAATATAGATTTTGAATTTTTATCACATGTTCAAGGACACACGCTAATTTTCTGTATTATGCCAAACTGCCAAGTGTGTGCAATATTATTTATGTATAGACCATAATTTATTTACTTTTTCAAATTCAAAACAATACATTATAATTTACGAGCGTCATCAATATGAACACTTCTCTTTTTCTTTCTATTACTACGATGTATATGTAGTAGACCATATATATATATATATATATATATATATATATGTTTTTTATTTTGGCAATTTTACAAAATGTTGTATTAGGAGAAGACTATCTAAGTTTCTGAACTTGTGTCCGATCCTTTTGACTTTGTCAATAAAATATGTTCAATTCAATTCAAATTCAACACTTCGTATATACACATGCTGCATAGCCCAGTACGACGGCGCTAGATTTATAACAACGTAATGAATAGGGATATCTTATTTTTCATCAAATAACAGTGATTTTCCACTTCTTACAGTGTCTCCGAAATTTAACACAGCGTTGAAAAATCGTATACACCAATTACAAATCAATGAACTAAATATATTCCAATGATTTCAAGTTGTTTAAAATATATTCCAATGATTTCAAGTTGTTTGAGTAAATATTCTGTGTCTGATTTCGTTTCAACCATATTTAAATATAATTGTATGATTGGACGCTGTCCCGTTGGGATGGCTGACGTCGCTTTTTCTGTAAGTTTTTGAAACATACTTCTTGTGGTTTTCGCTTAATATTCTCACTGTCTTTTTAGTAAGCGATACTAAACATATCAGAAAATGACGACAGCCGCTTTATTTACGACACATTTAATTTTTATTAAGCTTTGACTCGTTTTATAAAGAAAATAATCATTTTAATCAGAACACTTTATTTAAAAGATTATGGCATTTTAACCCAGGTCCGTGCTCACTATCGGCGACATTTAATGACCGCGATTTTTACAAAAATATTAAGTTCAAACAATAAAAACAAACTATTCTGACTTGGATTTTCATAACTAATATTTTGGTATACAATAAGTATATCTTGAACCATTCATTTTGACAAAAACGCCATTGTCCACGAACTTTTTGGACAACCCTCGTATACATGCTTTCCCGCCCACAAAATCAGAATGTCTCGACCAAAGAGGAACCCAAATTTTACTACTGCAGAAATTTCTATATTGACTGAAGAAGTGGAGAAACGGAAGGACGTGATATTTTATCGACAGAATTCATCTGTGACCAACCAGGCAAAAAAGGGGGAATGAGACTTAATCTGTGAAAAAGTGAATGCCGTAAATACATCCCATTTACGTACAGCAGATGAACTAAAAAAGAATTGGAGTGTTCTCTGTAGTGAGACAAAGAAAAAAATTTCCAAATTAAAGCGGGAGCAAGTGAGGACTGGTGGCGGTGAATTGCCTGCGGATTGTAGCGTAATCCCTGTAGAGGACAAAATACAGTCCATTATTGGAGAAACTGCAATATCTGGGGTAGACGGGGTATTGACACCCTTGAAGGTAATGCTGGATAAAGTTGGTTTCTACTAAATTTACAAGATAATTTAAATTTTGACGTGATAATTGTTGCAATAATAATACGAAAAAAAAAAAAAAAAAAAAAAAAAACAAAACAAAAAAACAAAAAAAAAAAACAGAAGTGTAATTGTTCTTTTTAAGTAAACAAGCAGTCAATAGATTAATTAGATATCATTTAAATATACAGGTATTTTATTTATAAACTTGTATAAAGGATTTATGAGTAGATTTATTTGAAAAATGCCAACCTTTCCTTAGAATTTTAATTACATTTATATGTGATTAATTTATAGAGTGTCTTATAGTTTGGCAGGAAAGGGGGCACTGATCATCACAGAAGTTCCAGCGGCTGACCAGACACTTGACGGATCAACGGATACTATAGCTACATGTACATCTTCAACTTCAAACAGACAGACTTCTACAGTGGGCGGTAAATTTTTTTTCGTCTTCTATTCGGAAAGGAGGGAAGGGGTATTCTAAAAAAAAAAAATTACATACGTATGTTGTATTATCGAATACTATTACATGATTTTATCATTTTTTTTTATTTTATTTTTTTAATGAACGCTCTTTGTTTCAAATATTAAAATTTAAAAAAAATATATATATTTTAACGTCATTTCATTGTACATGTACTAACTTGTGAGGATTTATATGTATATATATAATTCCTGTTCATTTATCAACAGCAAAGAAACGTAAAGTAGACGTTAAAACGCCTTCGCTGGATTTAATTGATGTTAAAAAGGAAAGACTGGAGATAGAAAAGAATAGACTTGATGTGGAAATGAAAAGACTAGAAGTCGAGGAACAAAGGCATGCTACAGAAAGGACGAGATTACAGCTAGAACAGGAGAAACACAGCATAAAACTGTCAGCTGGGCATTATTTCAAATGCCACTATCAACAATAAATTTATTTTTTCTCTTTTTATTCTTATTGATAAAATTTGCACATTTACACGCAAAACTTGCCACAGGTTACTCTATATGAGTTGATGTACATATAAGAATAGAAGAAATTGTTGCTTAAAATCTTGCGTCAATCAATTGCCTTCTAACTTCTGTTCCGTCATTCAATGTCCCACGATACACATTGTCGTTCCGTCATTAATAACGGCCCTTCCAACTGGGTCTGGGACTTTATTGTCAATGCATATATTATGCAGAACTGCAGTTGGAACTATATTATTGCAGGTTCTTTTAGGTGAGAACTGAAGTGCACCACCTGATGTGTCCACAAAACGAAATCGCATTTTCCATACACCAAAACACCTCTCAATGACGTTTCTTGTTTTCATATGAGCATTATTGTAGGCATTTTCTTTAGCGGTGGTTGGGTTTAGAACAGGTGTGAGTAAATATGGTTTAAGTGGATACCCACTGTGACCTAAAAGCCACCCTCTTGATATTATCTTGTTTTCTAAAACTTGACAAATTTTAGAATTGTTCCAAACAAATGAGTCATGTGATGACCCTGGCCATTTTGCTACTACATTGAGAAACTTTAAATTGGCATCACACACAGCCATGGTGTTAACTGAATGATAATTTTTCCTGTTCATAGAGACATTTTCTCGAAAACTCGGAGACTTAATTCCAACATGTGTTCCGTCTATCGCACCAATAACATTTGGAAATCCACTTATTCTTGAGAATTGGAACATAGTATTTGTAATTGCAGTCTCATCAGTAGGCATTTTTATATATCTTGGACTGATTTTTACTAAGGATTCAGGCACATCCCTAACATTTCCTGATATGCTTGCTTTACTTATACCATGCAATTCAGCAGTAACCGTCTGGAAACTCCCCGTAGCTAAAAACCGTAAAGCAGCCATGACTTGGAGGGATGGTGGAAGTGAGTGTGATCTTCCTGTAGGCCATCTGGTATGGTTTTCGATCTCCCCATAGATACCCTGAATCAAATGGCGAGGGAGTCTAAACTTTGAGATAATCTCATGATCATCCATATAATCCATTGGATCATTTCTGTCTCGAAATATTCTTTCTCGTCGAAAGGGATTCCTATGACTTATAATAACATAAACAGCCGCCATATTTAGTCTGTTCTTAAGACATCGATTTACCTCTCCTTAAGTAAGGACACAACTTAGGGATTTCATAAGATATGAATAGTTTAGTGAAACGGATAAGTAATGAACTTAGGAAAAAGTTCTTTCTTAAGATATAACTTAGTCCTAAGTAGGCTTTGTGAAACGGGCCCCAGGTGTCTAGGAAGAGTAAGTATCCCTTACTGACCGGTCACATCCCCTGTGAGTCCTGTGTATTGATCAGGTAGTCGGAACATACCGTAGTGAAATTTAGTTTTAAACAAAGGCTTACATGTAAGAATTGGCATGAAACACTTCAGTCAAAATACGACCCAGTGAAGGGTTATATTTCATAATAACGTCATTTTGACGGCTAAAAAATGGTGACTTATAACGAGTTTGTTGAAATCCCAGTAACATAAACTTATCTGTCAGTAACCTGCCTCGGTTTAAAAAATGATCGTACTCAGAGAGCATGGTCATTAGTATCTTATATATATATATATATATATATATATATATATATATATATATATATATATATATATATATATATATATATATATATATATATATATATATTATAAAACTTTTTTTCATGATCGAGTAAGCGCGGATAAATCCATAGACAATTCGGTATGAAAATAATGAACTAACAATTTCTATAAAAGAGGTTTGCCATCATTCGACATAACGACAGATTGTATCAAGAAACAAGGTCATTGTATCGACTACAGAATTGCAAAATATTGACTCTTAAAAAGATTGTAGATACCGTTGTATCATTAGCTTAATAGTCAAAGTCTGTCTCTTTTTTAAAAATCTTTTCGTTGGAATAACAAACTGTTTCGTAGCAAATCACTGGGAGGCATAAACTCCACATGAAGGAGATATAGGTATCTAGCAACAGAAGTTGGCGATTGAAAAGTTTAAGTCGTGGCTCTTTTCATATATTTCCGGTTATAGTTTTCCATCAATACCTTTCTCTAGTAAAATATCCAATCATGAAGCAGATGTTTAAAACTCCATGAGGTCTTTTATTTCGAGTTCAAAATTTTGAATTGAAGACCACGGCAAGATATTTATTTTTTCATGTAGAGGTTTTTGAACGTCATCAGCTTCTTAAAAATAGGTCTCATAATACTTGAGCACAAGTAGTATGCATGGGAATTACAACAGGCTGTTGAAATAAAATTCGTCTTCAAAGACTGTATAGATATTTTCAATGAGGGAATCAAGCATCTTTTTAATATCAACTTCAGAGTACTTGTGTTTAGAATCAGAAGAGTTGTCAACAAAATAGGTTTGAAGATAACCAACGACCAAACAAATGATAAAATGTGAGTTCTCTTATTAAAAAAAAGTTTTTCTTAGGAGTCAATACACCTGGTGTTTACTTTATCGTGGGGAATGGCTGTATAAAGAAAAATATAGATTTTGGTTTAAAAAATCGTTATTTAAAATTTTCTAAATATTGTAGTATTTTTTTTTCGTATATACCCACGATTTTTTTTTACCCCTTCTTGTGCTGAAACCATTTTAATCTATTTAAAATTTATAATCTTTATTATTCTTCAAAGATTTATTCAATGCTAGAATTCAATGGTAGAAAATATGAAAATAAGGTGGAAACTCAACATTCGTTTTATTGCAATCAAATAAAAGTAGTTTGAAGTGAAAATACAATTATATTAAATTTACAATAACATTGGTATATTATGATTGTTAATCGAGAAAATCCGTCCGAGAAATTGACTTCTTTCATGTTTGATGTGTTAAGTAAAAGAAAACTTACTGATTGTGCTAAACATTGTAAAGTGTAGACCTTTTCTTCACAGTAGTTCATTTTGTATGTCTGTTAAAGAATATTTCTTGTATTAAACAAATCATAAATTTTCAATATAGATTGATCGAATTGTGAGCTGTGAATTTCAGATTTCCATCAGATTTTGTAACCTTTCAGTTAAATATGTCAGTATATTACAACAAGTGATTTGGTTTCAGAGATTCTGTGTTTATATTTTATTTGAGTATGCCATAAGGTTCTCCAACTAATGATACATCATATATAATTCTTACTTTTTTTCACTGGCAAATAACTCTTATTGTTATCGGTTCTATATACCTATCAGATTTTAACTATACATACAATTATAAGTTAGGTAGAAAAAAAAAATACAATCTCAAAGGAACTTAATATAATTACGATTTTTCTGACATTCTGAAACATCACCTGCTAATACGGTAATCAGGTATTCAAAGTTAGTTTCATTGAAACGTGACATTGCACAAGTGCGTAGAAATTGAACCAGACAAAGAAATTTGGCTGATAATTTCAAGTGAGGATCTTTATCTATTGTTAAGATCGGATTATAATATTGTATACTGAAATCAGCTGTTCATATCATTATAATGTGAAGTAAAAAGGGTGAGTTTTACTGTAGGAAACTATAGTTCACCATAGCATTAAAGGTTTTATTATAGTAAATCAAAGTTTTGTTTTTTTTGTTATGAATTTCAAATTGTTATGTTTCCTTATTTCTAAGTCATACATGCGATTTTTTGAGATTGAAAGGAAATATTACCTATAATATTTCTTTTCGAAAATTCACGTCAATGATGTTTAATTAAAGAGATTTTGAGGCCCTTAATCTCAAGTACAGCTCTAAAGTAAAGTCCCATAATAAATCAAAGTATCAAAGTATTTACTCAAGTTAACTTAAGTAAACTACAATTAAATATATAGATAGAATATTTAGGGCTGCAGCATCGGGTGACCATTTAATATCTTTTGTATTTGAGAATACTTTGGTAAATGATCAACGTACATGTATTAAAGTACATTTTCAAAACTTCTTAAACTTTTTTTTGATATCTTACGATCCTACTATGTTTAATGTTATAGGCTGCATTGCACCTAGAGTCATTTCTTCCTAATAAAATATTATTAATTTATCCAAAAACAGGTACACATTAATGGCCTTATTGTAAAGAGAACTGATCTACGGTATAATGGTGTGTCTCTGTCTCTCTATGCTAGAATAACATGTACTTTAATTCTGTTTATTTATTTATTTATTTTATTTTATTTTATTATTATTATTTTTTTTTTTTTTGGGGGGGGGGGGGGCTTTTTTCTCCCTCTTTCTGATGACAGAGAACAGTTACTACTCGACTCACATCGTGAAAGCCAATGAAGTAGAACATTTTCTTTAACATATTTTTAAAAAGAAAAATTTTCCTGCATACAGTTCTATATTTAAAATATTTTCTTGTTAGAGGGGAAACAAAGTACATGTAAATCTCTAAAGGTGACCAGTAATTGCATTTTAGAATTCTTATATATACAAGTTTTACTGCGTCATCAGAGATGTTGAGACATTTCTTACTACTAACAAATTAAACTACTGACTGGTTTCACATTTCTTATAAGGATTAAAATTCTAGATTAGACATTACTAGTTATCTAGGTCCAATCAAGGGTGTAAGGTGATTTACCTCGGGTTTTATGCAATACACCCCGAGGCTGAAGGTCGAAGGATGTATTGTATACAGCCCGCGGTAAATCCCCGTACACCCTTAATTGAACCTGGATAAAGTTTTTTTTCCCCTATGTACTCAAATAAATTCTTTGTTTGTTTGTTTGTTTGTTGTTTAACGTCCCTCTCGAGAATTTTTCACTCATATGTAAACGCCACCACTTGCCGATGGAGAGCTGCAAATTTTGTCCTATATTCGGAACTTACGGCCATTGAGCAGTGAGGGGTGTTTTTCGTGCCAACACCTACTGCGACACGGGACCTCGGTTTATACGGTCTCATCCGAAGGACCGGTCTCCACGTCCCACAGTGGGATTCGAACCCGCGACGTACATGTAAGGCTCAACTCCTTACCTCGCGACTCTAGAGCAGACGCTCTAACCACTGCGCCACGCGGGCGACAAAATTCTTTGTAAACAGGTCCAATGAACTGTGTTTCAAGCTTTTAAAATCTATCAATAATATTTAATACGTCCCACAATGCATCGTGAGGTCATGTTATTTGCTTCTTATCATAGAATATCTAGACATTCTGACGTCATGTTTTTTTATTCTCGGCTCAAGTCGGGTGTACGGAAATTTACACCCGACGTGTGTAACCAATCAAATCATGTTACAAGCTACATAGGAAATAATATGATTTATATCATGACCTGTAGTTTTTCCTTTCATCTTTAAAAGGGTTAATAGCAACCATATAAGCGGACTTTGAAAAAAAAAAATGTGGACTTCCTTATTATACCCGAACTTTCTAAAGAAAGTTCGGGTATATTGTTGTTACTCATGTCTGTCCGTCCGTCCGTCTGTCACACTCTTCTTTCTCAAACCCCTCTTACATATTACACAGTAGCCTAATCATCTTTTGGGAGATGATTGGTGGTGTCATGTAGATGTGCAGCAAGGTTCGGACTTTTCATTTTCACCCTGGGGGTCAAATGGGGGTCGAAAAATGACGTTTTTTTTATGCAAAAAGCCCTGGTTCCCTGAACTCCTCTTACATTTTACACAGTAGCCTAATCATCTTTTGGAAAATGGTTAGTGGTGTCCTGTAGATGTGCAGTAAGGTTTCGAAATTTTCATTTTCACCCTGGGGGTCAAATGGGGGTCGAAAAATGACGTTTTTTATGCAAAAAGCCCCTAGTTCACAGAACTCCTCTTTCATTTTACACAGTAGCCTAATCATCTTTTGGGGGATGGTTAGTGGTGTCCTGCAGATGTGCAGTAAGGTTTCGGAATTTTCATTTTCACCCTGGGGGTCAAATGGGGGTCGAAAAATGACGTTTTTTATGCAAAAAGCCCCTGGTTCCCAGAACTCCTGTTACATTTTACACAGTAGCCTAATCGTCTTTTGGGAGATGGTTGGTGATGCCATGTAGATGTGCAGTAAGGTTTCGGAATTTTCATTTTCACCCTGGGGGTCAAATGGGGGTCGAAAAATGACGTTTTTTATGCAAAAAGCCCCTGGTT